AGTAACCGAACAAAAATTTGAATTACCTTATTATTAACAGTAGTAGTTATTGCAACTCTAGGAACATTCCCACACATTCTATTAAATCGTCTAATTCTACCATAACACGGTACATAGTCATAGCCCCATTCACTTAAAGAATGTGCCTCATTAAATACAATATAAGACAATAATTTTCGTCGTTTTAATAAACGTACAAGATGCTATGAATTTAAAATTAAGTTTGTTAATTATTGACAAATAAATTATAAGAAAAATTAATATACTAATGATAAATATACCTGGAAATATCTAACATCAATCATATCAGGTGTAGCATATAATAGTGGTATGGTTAAATAATTTGAAGAAGTGAAATCTCTTAAAATAACATCTCGTTCGCTAGGGGATGTACATTTACTTAATAAATGTACTTTTATCTGTTTATTCCTAAAAAAATCTACGCGATTCTGGAAATATTATATTTAGAAAAACAAATAAATTAACCGGGTACTTGAATTATTACCTCCATAAAACATAATTTTGAAGAAAAAACGACAGCTACTTTGCCCTTTTTTAAAATAGCTGGTATTTCGAAACAAAGTGAGCTATCAAAGTCAGGTGGTGTAGATATGCATACATGATTTAAACCTGTAAATTCGCAATGCCTTAAATTAATGAATAATCTTGTATAATTCAAATTAAATATCATAAGCACATACAAAATTAATGTAAAAAGACACGATGGAACAGTTTATAAACATTACCAAAGAGAAACTAACCTTCGTTGACTAGAAGAGTTGCATTTTTTTGAATTATATTTCTGAAATCGTCATAACCAAACACGGTCTGCAATGTACTTGTCACACACGATTTATTACTCATTATTAGGCTTTCTATCAAGCGTTAAACAATTATTTTTAGTAAATTGGAGATTATGTTGCTGGTAAGAACTTTTAAGGATTAGCTTTGAACATGCTTACATGCCATTATCGCTTAAATCGACTCAGCCAATCAAGAGGCCACAATTCCAAATTCAATTTCCGCGGCAACATTTAAAACAACGTCACACGCTTTTATGAATTTTTTGCTCATAGTACGTCTTTGTTTGAGGATTTTAATTTTTTGTTTTTTTTTTTTAGGTATGATAGACGATTGACGTTTGTTAGTAACATTGGTTCTAAACATTTGACTTTTCGATGAATAACAGAGTGAATATAAGAAACTCAGACTAAAGTATCACCTGACTCGTCCTACTGCAATAGATGCTAACATGTGAGTGAATACTAATATTTAACTTAAATGTATTACTAAACATAACAATCAATTATTGTTTTTTCATTTCAGAGATACAATGAAGAAACTTTGCACAATATTTTTGTTAGTATGCTTGTCTATTGCTCAACCACCTAATGATTGTGATCCAAATTGGCACTCGTTGGAGACTGATGAATCTGCCAGATTAGAATGCGGAGAGGCTTTTAAAAACCGTTGTTATTGTAGAAAGACGTGTTATGAGAACCGTCATCAGTATGTTGTTAATTGCACCGACTCTAAATTCCGTAATGCGGAACCATTGGCGCATTTGCCCAATGAAACGCAGGTACAGCAATTTTTTATGAGAAATAAAAATTCTGCAAAATACTTCAGTCATTACAATAAGTATCTTATTTTAACGTGAATTATAAAATAGGTCCTCATCTTCACGGGAAATTATTTGGAGGAACTACCCTGGAATGTGTTCGGTACATTGGATAGCTTTCCTGACCTGCGAGTGATTGACATGTCAAATAACAAAATCAGAGAAATCCGAGGGAAAGCATATCACCATGTTCAACGCGTTGAGCGCCTCATTCTTGACTTCAACGAGCTGTCTTTGGACCCTGAAAGGAGTCATCCCAGAGTCTTCTCTAATTTTGTTTCACTATTGGAACTTCACTTAACTGATGCATTTGAGGATGATAGATTAGATAGACCTAGAGACCTGGCAGCTACATTGCATGACATTTTTGTGAATAGGTATAACAAGTCTCCTATTTCATCATTACGTATATGTCAGCAGAGTTCTTTAAAAAATTACTTTGCCTCTAGCAATTTAGTGAAATTGATGAAGCTGCATCTGGAACAAAACGAGATCTCGGAGTTCCGAGATCCTAACGTATTTTGTGATCTTCCAAGCATACTGGATCTCTACCTCGGCGATAATGCGCTCACTGCTTTACACTTCAACATATCATGCTTGCCGAATTTGCGATTTTTGGATCTTCAACGCAACAAATTCACCAAAGTACTCGAGCACGATCTTCGTGCTATGGATGCAATCGTTGAGCACAATAAAAACATAGCGGTGGATTTAACTGGAAATCCACTAGAGTGCTCATGCAAACTGAATCCCTTCATTAAGTGGATGAACAAGACCAAAGTGTTTATTCGTAATAAGGACAACTTAAAATGTTACGAAGGTAAACTATTGTTTCATGTCATAATCAGTATGCTAACAGATATTGACAAAACTATTTTACGATTGTACATTATAATATTTACAGATGAAATGCCACATGAGTTTCATGAAGTGAAAAGTTGTAAAGTGAAATTGTTTTCATCGGCCCCGCATGGTGCGACAATTTTATTGTTTTTCTTGTCACTGGTGCTGATAGGACTAGTGTGCGCTTTAATTTACGTACAACGTGCGAAACTGAAGAAGAAAATTGAACCAATACTGGATTCGGTTAATAAAAGGGTGCGATACACTTCGATAGCAACCGGCGAAGTCCGCGAAGATGTATAGCCATGCATTAATTAGCTGTACTTTTTAAAATAGATGATTATTTAAAGTCAATTGACGTGCTTATTAACCGTATGTAATAGAGGAGAATTTACACTAACTAACGCAAGAGCCGACTTCATATTTAACAATCTAGACTGTTGAAAAGTTCCATTTTTTCTTCTGTACAATGTAAAAATATTTTTCTTAATATTATACAATTAGTTTGATACTGATAGAAAGAACTTAATACTAGGATACTATTTATAGTACAGGATACTATTAGTATAGGATACTATTTATAGTATACAGTACTTAATTTTTGCATTTGACTAATAGTAATTATCAAACGTGTGAAATTGTTTGTTATAATACTAGCGTGCTATGTTTGTTAATGTAATTAATGACTTACGAGAAAGCACGTGTACTTTTGATATTGTTATTAATTGTTTTAAACGTGTCAAGTGACGAATAAATGTTGGATATATATTTGTATTTATATTCTCTCCATCTGATAGAACTGTTTGAATGCGTGATGAAATTTACTTATGCTACTAATCCACTCACAGAAAGATATATGTTAGCACAAACGTATTCTTCGAATATTTACGATTTCTTATCATACAGCCTATCAGACCATTGACATCTTGCCAAAGATTAGATAAGGTTCTTGGCTTGTTATAATGATCATAATGTGCGCTGAAGCAATATTATAAGTGTATGTTCGAATCACTCTCTAATTCTTTTCTTTGCGAGGGCGACAAAAGATATACAAGATGTCAATAGCCAAACATCTTCATTTAGATGAAGTTGTCGCATCGTTCCCAGAATTGGGGCCCACACTTCCCGATGGTGGTTACTCATGGGTGGTTCTCTGTGGAGTATGTCTGGTCCAGGTATGCCTAAAAATATGAATGAAATTGACAGTGCAGATAAGCTATTGGCACATTGATTAACTTTTTAAGACTAAATATTTTTAAACAAACACAAATCGAGTTTTAAAATCATTGTACAATTATGCTGGGTATTTAGAAAATTTATAAATATTTCATTAATAATAAATAATTTTTCTTCTATCAAAATTCAGGCCACGGATCAATGAAGAATTTATTAGAATCAATTTTATTGTCATTTGAATCTTGCTTTCACAGATGACTATTCCCAGTATATTGCCTATGTACGGTGTGGTGTTAGGATTTATGAATGAAGGCACTGGTTTAGATGTATGGAGTGAAAAAATTATCCTGACGCCAGTGCTATTCATTGCTTTTTGGAATTTAGCTGGTACAAAAGTTACATACCTAAAATAAATTAGTATTGGAACTTGTTTGTGATAGTGAATAAATCTTTTCAGATCCTTGGACGAGAATGATAGTCGGCATGGCGTCAATCCCACGTTTGGTAGGATTAATAGGAGTAATTCTCCTGACAGTCGGTATAATAGCAACTGGATATCTCGCAACAGGCGGTGTTGGAGCATATTTAGCAAGTTCCAGTGCAGGTGCAGTGATGGGAATAGGTGCCAGTTTTGTAGTTTTATTAAGTGACTACGTCTTAAGGAAAAATTTCAGAAAAAAACTTCTTTTGGCTCTAACATTGAAAAATGTTGCAACGTCTGTTGGGCTCATCCTAATTCCCAACATCACAGGTTTACTGCTGCACAGAACAGGGCTAAAATTTGGCTTATTACTAATGACCATGGCAATGTTACCTACAGCTTTTGGTACATTAACTTTCCGTTTACCGTCTTCAAAACAAACTTCCCCTTACAGGTCCATTTCATAAATAATTTGTATAACAACACTGTCCAATACATATGTCCTGTTCCAATTAGCAGTAGGTGATTCCTGTAAATTGTAGATCTTTTTGAGCAGAGAGCACAAAAACTGTGGTTTCTTCTCCCAAACATATTTTTTAATTTGCACTTGATGGAGAACGCTTGCTAAATGTTGGAGCATCTAAAAAATTTGTTGGACAGTGTAACGAACAATTTAATTATCAGTAAGGAAAAATTACATTTGAAACATAACTCACAGTCTTCTCTTGTCTGAAGAGGACAACGAAATTCCCATAAGCAACTCCCCAGATATTCCTGAGAACAGCCATGAATTAACTTGCCAACGCAAACCTGGAAGCCAGGATTATGGAGAAGTTGAAGACAAAGCACACGAAGATGCATTGTTTAGCGAAGGAAACTATATGTATGCCTACCAAGAGCCAGATGATGATGTAGATTTGTTTGTGAGTCCACTTCATCCTTCGGATAGCAAGTGGAAACACCAACTTGGTCTAGTTAAAAACTTGCGGTTTTGGATGGCTGTTGTTGGTTGGGTTGGAATGAAGGTGTGCATTCTCTTCTTTTGGATATTGCTGCCTGTGATATCTTCCACAGCTGTAAGAGGCTATTACGTGCATGCACCCCTGTGCACGATGGCTGGATTCGGCACCTTACTACCAAACATTGCCAGTTACAAAATATTACAATTGACAAATCATAATAGAAGAGTATATTTCGGATTGGCAGCTTGGTTTTGTGCCGTCATTCTGATAGGTGTGTGATTTTTGTCATTAATAAAAAATTTGCTTTTTAGCAGTCAGTTATAGGAATCAAGCTTACTTACAGGTTTAACGTACGCAAAAGGATCCACAATCGTTACGATTTGGGCTCTTCTAGGTGGTATCAGCATTGGCAGCTTAACGAGCTGTCAGGATTTAGCTTTGTATGATATTCTGGGCATTGAAATTATGCGTTCAGTTAACAAGGGATTGTCCACTATCGTTGGTCTATGTATACTAATCTTCAGTTTCATACACAGTATGTCGTTGTAACAAAATTTTATTTTGGGAAAGAGCGGAATAAACGACCTAATTCCAGATCGTAGAACGAATTAAACGACTTCTTTATTACAGGTATAAATTTTTGTATGAATGTTACATCAGCTTTATTATTTTTCGGTGGACTCTATTGGCTTTCGTCGCCGGTTTTGAGTTTCATGAAATCCACGAGATACAGACCATCCCGTGCAGCGAATGTGTAATTCACACAAAATTCTACGATACAGTATTACAAAGAACATGAATTTTACATTGTACCTTAATTTAATGGTATTTACATATGTATGTATATATGTACGTATATATATGTATTTATAAAGCTACACATATATACATACATGTATTGATCACAAATCACAACAATCTGTTTTCACGAATCCATCTAAGAATAAAAATAGTATATATAAAATCGTAAAAATAGATGTTTTTTAGAAATTAAAAAATAGGCTTCGGATATTGCTTAATATAAAAGGAATAAATATGCTGCATTTTACAATAGTATCTCAAATGATTGTTACTTATTTTTCTTAATTGTAAATATAATAAATTCTTGGTAAAATGTTATCAACACTTTTAACACCTCATTCACAGCAAATGTGTATAAGTGTCGCATGATATGTCTAAGAAAAACATGAATAAAATACAAAATAAAATAAGATATT